GGGAAAAAGAGGACGTATAGTAACCCTAGCCTGGAAGCCCTCTGAATCACCATCTCTGAGGAAGCCTGCATGTGGGAGCTGCTGTTGAGCCAGGAATCCCAGAAGACCTGGAAGCTCCTGACTGAAATTGATATGATTCTTCTCAGTTTCAGGAATACCCACCACTTAATAGCAGTGGTGAGCCCATAGCATATTTTGTTTCAGAACATATTTCAATGCTTCCAAAACAAATTATTGCAGGATTTCAGTTCTATGAAAATTTTTGAATTTTTTGTCTTTTCATCCCAATTCAGGATGAAAAAAAAAATCTGAAAATTCTAAATGTATCATAAAATGCAAATTTGGTTTCCTGAGGTCTATCAATGACCCCCAAATCTGCAAGCCAATAGCATCTTTTGCTGTAGCATTATGTGTGTGTGTATGCACTGTAAATATATATATTTATTCCCCTCTTTTGTAGTGCATTAAAATGACCACAATTCAGAACAACTGTTTAGCCCCTGCTGTACAACCCACCTGTCTACTAACAAATCATATCAAATCTTTGACTTCTTTTAAAGCAGTAGTGCTCAATCTTGATTTTTCTTTTAAACTGTGGTGTGTGTGCATGCCTTTTCCAATCTGCCCAGTGTGCCAAAAACCCTTTGAGGCAGTGATAGCTTCATGCAGTAATTATCCCCATCCCTGGACTGAGAACCATTTGAGTGGACCCTTTGCCCACCAATTGACTTCAGTGGTGCTTCACAGGGGTGCATATGTGAGTGCAGGAGCACTGGCTTACTTATGAGATTTCTAGACACGGGGCTGGTTAAAAGACACATTAAGAGCTTGAGTTTGTGGCTCTAGGGCAGGGGGTTCCCAAACTGAGGGTTGGGACCCCTCAGGGGGTCATGAGGTTATTACGTGGGGGGGAGGGGTTGCAAGCTGTCAGCCTCCACCCCAAACCCTGCTTTGTCTCCAGCATTTATAATGGTGTTAAATATATTAGAAAGTGTTTTTAATTTATGGGGGGGGGGGAGGGTTGCACTCAGAGGCTTGCTATGTGAAAGGGATCACCAGCACAAAAGTTTGAGAACCACTGCTCTAGGGGAATACTGCCACATGGCAATTATTATAACAAATTATAATATTAATCTAGTATCTTTTGTTACTTTTGGCTGGTGATTTTACCTATTGTCTATCATCTTATTCATACATTGATAGCTCTTTAGGGCAAGGACTGTCTTTATTGTTATTCGTTTGTAGGATGTTTAGCATACTGGGGCCCTGGCCTTTATTACAGCATAAGTAATAAATACATAATAATAAACCATGGAAAATGCGTAGGGGGGCATACATTCCATTGGACTGGAGGGTTATTGAGCATTGAGAGAGAGAGGTTACCAAGAGATGCATAAATATTTGGGAGTTGCAGAGCAAGGTCACTAGTGCATGCTAATCTGGTTAGAAAGGTTAGTACTAGTATTAGTAAAGATCGTCTAGAGGAGGAGCTAGAAGAAAATACATTTCCCATCGCAGGAAGGTGGATGAACCTACTTTACAGTGTGTGCGCTTTTGGGGAGCATGGGTGTGTGCCACACAGAGGTCATGGTAAGCTAGGGGGCAGGTGGTTTGAGCATTGGCCTGCTAAACGCAGGGTTGTGAGTTCAATCCTTGGGGGGCATTTAGGGATCTGGGGCAAACATCTGTCAGGGACAGTGCTTGCTATGAAGGTAGGGGACTAGACTTGATGACCTTTCAAGGTCCCTTCCAGCTCTATGAGATATGTATATCTCCATTAAAAAAAAATGATGGTGCTACTACAGGAAAATGGGGGGAGGGAACTGGGAAGTTACTGGATATTTACAGCTGGAGAGTGGACACCCTGTTTTGGAGGGGGAAGGGTAGGGAAAACTTCCCTGTCCTCGCTCCCCCCCGACCCCCGCAAGAAAATAACTCACTGGCTTCTTCTATCCCCTCACGAGGGTGGCGCCAGTGACCGGGAAAGAGACGCTGTCGCTTTAAGGCGCGGCGATGGGAGCGCTCGCCGCACACGCAGCACAGGGCAGGCTGTCGGGCGCGGGCGCAGCCAGGCAGCCCTGACTGAAGTGGGCAGGGGGAGGCGAAGGCAGCGCTCGCCCCGCTGGCTGGCTGGCAGCCCGCTCAGCGCGCCTGGAGCCGGGGCAGAGGCTATGCTGTGCTAGCCATGTCCAAGCACCCGCCCTCCTCCCACAGCAAGAACGGGCTGGCGGACGGGCTGCACACCCCCATCTTCCAGGTGCCTCCCCTCCCTCCGCCCCTGCTCCGCTCTCCGCTTTCCCAGCTCGGGGCTCCGGCGGCTGGAGAGCATCGCCTCGGCGCCGGGCTGCAATGGCTGCGGTGGGTGTTGGGCTGGAGCCTCGCTCGCTCCCGCAATCCCCGGAGGGGCTGGGGCGGAGGAGGGCAGAGCCAGCGGGCTTGGGTTAGGGGGTGACCCGTTACCAGAGCTCCGGGCTGAGCCACCGGCCCTTCGTGTATTCGGGCAGCGTGGCCGGCTCCCCTCCCGGCGCTGGCCAGGCTGGACCGGGCGCTGCCCCGGCGAAGCGGGGTCCCCGCGGGCTCCCCGCCGCCCGCTCTTGTGACCCGACCTGTCTTTCTTCCCACGGCGAGTGCAGGTGGCCCGCGGGACGGCGACCCGGCGGAGCCGGTTGAAACGATCCGACGGCAGCACAACGTCCACCAGCTTCATCCTCCGGCAGGTACAGTGCGGGCCCGGGGAAAGCGGCGTGGGGAGGAGGCGGTGGCCGCACCGCCCGGCTAGCCGCTGCGCTGTCAACGTGCGGGCTGGTTCAGAGATAGTCTGTTGGGCGAGAATCGCGTTTCTTTGGGGAAATGCCTGTCGCAGGGATTCCTGCTGCACCCAGCGCTCCGGCCGTGCCGGGAAAGGGGTGGGAAATTTCACCCCGTAGTGTCTAGCTCTTAAAAGCCTTGTCGGGTTTTTCCCCCTCTGCAAACCAGGTCTTCGCTCCGGCTTTAACTTGCTTTGGTTTTAGTCATTTAGTCTGTATTCGTTTTGCTATAAGACAGGCCCCCACGGAAATAGATTTACACAGCAGAATCCCGGGCGATCTAAAAGATCTCAGGTGTAGTTAGAAACCTTTGGGTAAACAAGAGTTTGGGTAAAGAGGAATGAAGTAAGTTTTCGGGCCAGAAACATAACTGAGATTTGGGTGAGAGGGGCTTTTCGATAAGGGCGGTTGCAGCTCCCTGTTTCCCCAAAGATTTGGGACAAGGTAAAGGGAGTGAGAGTGGAAATGAAAAGGGAATGGCTCCCATTGACTTGGATTCGCCTTGGTTAAACTAGTAAGTGCACAAGAATTGGTAACATTTCTGATTTAACTCTTTCCAATTGTTGAGTATTTATTTCTCGAAAATGCTGGTTGACAAACCGCTCGGCTTTGAGATGCTGTCAGTTAGAGTCCGTCTCAGCCAAAAAGCAGGAAGATGGGCTACTAGATGCCCTGAGTTAACCTGGGTCACATCCAGCCCGTTCTATCAAATGCTGACTGCAGAGTCCTTTTATTTAGACTTGCCTGAAGGCAAATTTCCTCCCCCTCTCTCCTATGTGTATTGAAGAATTCTGCTGTTTTCTAAGACCCTACTTGCTAGCTTAAGTGTATTTAGGGAACTTCAGCACTTCCAAGCTGAAGCACCTGAAATATTAGGGTCTCCATACAATATACACAGAAGTTTGTTTTGTTTGTTTTTTAGCTATGACACATGTTTGTTATTTTTTCCTACTTATTTTGTGAATGAAAATAAATGATAGTGTTTATTATTTTATATATCTAGTGACACTGGCATGTTCAGCACATATTAGACATAATTTAATGTAATTTTCTCTTAAATGATCCAAAAATAACTTGTGAGAAAATAATTATGTGTTTTACTGATTTTTGTTCCATAAACTCTGAACATTACAGCAGCAGGATTTGAAATTAACATCAAAAGGTTATTTGCCCTCTTGTTCTCATAAGAAACAGCCTTTTTCTTTAGGCTATGAGCCACTTCAGTATAAACTAAGCTCAATAAATCATTGGAGACATTTTTAAAACAGCCCCAGATACTTTTGTCTGGATTTCCTTGCAACTTTATTTTGAAGCAAATTGCAATTGAAAATTAACTTGGAAAAAATTGTGGATTTTGCTGCATTGGAGCTTGCTTGTATTTTGTAGACACCAACACTTATTTTTTTGCATTGCTAGGCCCTAATGCTGTACTCATATCTATGTAGTGGGTACATTTATGTCTGTGCAAAGCCCCACGTAGGGCCCACGCAGATTGGATTGCAGGGTCAGGGCTGCAGCATTTTATTGGATAGAAAGTGTAATTACTGGCTATCTATCTGAGTCAAACCTGCATCTGAACACCCCAAAACTTTGGGTGAAGTTTGGATTTGGATCTGAACTTATGCAGTATTGCCAACAACAGGTGTTCAAAAATTACAAGTCAGGCCTAAAAAAAAATCGTGAGTTTGGCTCAAAGATTATCTTAATATTATACTTTGGGTTCTTTGTATGTGTCTTTTAGTTTCTGAGCTATTGGGATACAATTGGGTCATGTTTTCAAGTTATTCTGTGCAACCATAAGGGCTAGAAATTTACTTTACTTGAAAATTTCAGTCTTTTTTTTTTTTTTAGTTCCTTCACTCCAGGAGCTGGGGCTTTAAGGAAAACACCAAAGATTGTGCAACTTGTGACTAAATTGTGAGAGTTGGCAACGATGTTTTAGTTTTAGACCTGCAGGTACTAATTATCCTCCAGCAATAATCCTCCTCCTTCTGGCACGACAAGGATGTCACAGGAGCAATTTAGGTGACATCCTCCTGTCTATATTCACCCTTTGCCTTCTATTTCCACTCTTCCATTGTTGGCTGCTAGCTTGTGCCAATATAACTTGCCCCAATAAAAACTAACATCCATGGTCTAATTGAAGCTTTGGCATTCTCTCTCATGTGATGTCTGCTCAGTAAACACAATTTTAAAGAAATAAATTATAAAATGCCAATCTTTTAAATGGTTTGTTCATTCTTTGTTTATATCTAAAGAGTTTTCTTGTTTTGGGGTCTAATCCCGCATTCATTACACATGCTAAACTCCCAGTGGGAGGGCAGGGAAAGCAGAATTGGGCCCTGAACAGTTTCGGGATGTTTGCCATGGAAAGAACGTCTTTCATTTAACTATACTGTATTGTCGTGCAGGACACTGAAGTGGTGAATCATGATAGCCTCACAGAAAAGAGAAATATATAACCAATAGAAGTAATCATTTCCAATTGCTTTGTGATATTTTCTATTCAACTGCACAAACCAGAATGACAGCAATTCCATGTTAGCAATCCTTGTTTTCATTGGAAATGAGCATGAGACATCACTGTAGCACAAAAGAGAGATAAGAACATGAAACTTAACATGACTTGAAGCCAAATTATTAGAATATTTGCAAAAAAAAAAACATGAATCCAATTTTAGTCCATATTCATAGATTGAGCCAGTTCAGCAGGTTTTACAGAAAGGGTGTGGGTGCTTACGGTACTTGTCAGGGAGAATCTTTTAGATTCTTTCTGTTACATCCTTTAAAGTAATGGATTTCCAGAGTAATGTTAAAACATCAACTGTGGAAGTAAGACTGCATTTTATTTGTTGTCATTTTAGGTTGGCAGAGACAGGTAACTGAGTGTTCCTGCATGTTGCAGTGTGCGCTGAATTCCCACTGGAGTGAAGGGCACTCAGTTTCTCCCAGTGGTGTTCAACACTATGCAGGATTGGGCCCTTCGCAGCTGACCTTGCAAAACCTTACTCACAGGAGTAAGGTTGTGAGAGTTGGCAATGGTTTAGATTGTTTAGATGACTGCCCAGTTGAAGCCAGTGGGGCTACTTGTGTAACTGTGAGTCAGGCCCTAACAACCTAGCTGTCATAATTGAGTTCTATTGCATCTGACATCTTATTTGTGTTCAAATGTGGAAATGTTCCCTGTGCTTTGTTCAGTTTCTCATGTTCCAGTGCTTTGTGTAGTTCTTAACCACAGTATGTCTGAATAGCTGCGAGTCTGTATCTCATCGGGAGTCAAGTCAGAGAGTCTCAGGCTCTACTCATGGAAACCCCGTATAATGCCCTACTAAAGAAATACACATCTGTTATTGAAGGGGCACTTGCAAATATTTGAGGCCTGGCATTTTGATCTTATTTATAATTGATAATAGTTTGATGCTAGATCTTGTATGTCTTGCACACCCAAAATGTATTGATTTTACTAGGAACCGTGAATGTGCAGTGGATACAGAACTGGGCCCGTGATGGAAAAAGTCTTCTAGATGCTAAAGGCCTGATTTTTCAAAACTGCACATGTGAATATATAGATGCACAAAAAATGCACTAATTTATGCTTAGTTGTCATAACTGCATGCACAACTCATAACTGTGCATCTATCTGGCCTCACTGTAGGGAATTTGCACATGCAAACAGCTAGCACATGCAAAAATCTAGCTTGCCTCTTGCTTGACTAAATACCCAATTTGTTTGTACAAATACTGCAGGTCTGCATACACAACTTTGAAAATCAGAGTCAGTCTACTGGCTTTTTTTAAAATCCACCACTCTATCACCAATAGATTTCCCAGAAAACAGCCACTATCTCTGGGTCTCAAGACAATGAATTGTGCTTTCTCTGCTAACTCTGCAGTAGTAGCAGCAGCAAGTATAGTTACTAAAGCTATTCCCAGAACTGTGCTGGCATGGTTGCTGTTTCTGCACCAGTATCCAATACGTTTTGGCACAATGAGGTGCTATATAGGTTGAAGCTGTTAAATAAATATTACTTCAAATCCATTCAAATCATAGCAAAATAAATAAATCCACTAAAAGAATCTGCATTACCCAAATGGAAAGGGAGCAGATAGAGAAAACAGTGTCATCTTCTGAGAGGTTATTACAGACAGTGGAGATTTAAAATAATAATAATAATAATAAAAATTGTACACATTTACTTGAAACCTTAAACAGTGGGAGATTCAATAATTCATTTAATAAAGACCGTAAGAGGCTTTCATTTGAACTGCATGAGTTCAACAACAAAAATAACTCTTAGATTGCCTCCCACCCACCCATCACAGAAAGAGCGTGGAAGAATTCACTTTAAGCAGGCATTTAGGAAACGGTTACATTAACTCTTTCCATGAATTTACTATAATAAATTCCTTCCCATATGTCAATTTAACTGCACAAGACAACATTTCCTTTGCGCAAAGATGCTCCCCATGTTTCCTTTGTGCTAGAACGAGACTGGTTGTGACTATTCTCAGACTTTATGGTTCGTATTTGGATTCCTTTTCATTAGGAAAGAGAATAGAAACTTTTAACTCATAACATATATAGCACTAATTAGTTGTATCCTGTTGGTCATCTCAGTCACTGGGAGCCTTCCTCTTTTTTCTATTATAAGGATCAGGCTCTCTGGGACATAGGCAGAAAAATATCAACTGGCAGAGATTAAAATGGAGATGTTTTGTAATGTTTTAATTTTTTATATGCAAAATTTAAAAGATAAATTCTAACCTGCATCACCAAGCTGTGTAGTAATAGCACAGTAAGTAGAGTTTATACTAATCTGATCTAAACCTCAACTGTATTGTAGACTGCAGTCAGTTACTGGAGTAAATCCACAATGTCAATGGAACTATGGAATTTTGTTGTATTTGTG